TTAGGTGGTTGAGATAGGACATATTCTCATATATCCTCGTATACTGTGGTAGATTGTTGGATCAGAGGATGATTTACAGCTGCTGGGAGGGGAACGTTCTCAGAGACAGAACAGAGATGGCAAAAATACAGAAAAATCTGTCAGAAGGAGGAAATGAAGTTTTACGTGAGAAAACAAACCTGGATGAAGATTTCTGCTTTATTTAAGTTTATTTTAATATTTATTATTATTATTATTATTATTATTATTATTAATTATTTTATGATTTATTTTCCTCATATTCAGTTTGTCTCATTTTTAGTCAGTTACAGGAAACTGAAGGAGAGACTACGACTCCCATGGTGCATTTCCCTGACAAGCATACAACCACAGTCTCACATTCTGCAGACCGTGTTATTGCTGTGAAAAGTGCTGGAAAAAGGTCCAACTGAACTGTTCCAACACGTTCTCATCCCAGTGCGTCAAATACAGACGCACAACGTATCGGTGTGAGTCGCCTTTTAACATGTCGCTGACTCGGCAAGATCAGACTCTGCCTGTCCACTCGAAGTCACTAGAAGCACATTCACACTCTTTGTGTGGCCCATGAGACAGTTTTAACCCACAAAATGCTCGTGTGAATATTAACAGCAGCATTGACGTGTTTCATTATACAAGTTTCAGGGTGGAGAAAACTTAAACAGACTGAAACTGAAGCGTCTCGTTAATCTTTAAATGTTTTAGTGACAAACTGTGTCTTCGTGGTCTGAAGGTGCTGCTGTTCCCCTGTTCTACCTGTGCTCAGAGGATCCAGCTGTGTGTCTTCTCTCCTCCAGGTGTCTTTCAGGAAGTGAGACGTGTTTCAAGATGGCGTACTGAGATTGATTTCTGGGTCACAGGATGGAGGACGGAGGAGACGACCACCAATTAGAGTTTGTCACTGAGACTCTTCTTTTGTTCGGTTGTAGATGTTGTTGTTTTTTCAGTTTGGTTAGAGTTAGAATAGTTTCATATCTAACCCTATGATCATGGTTTGGGTTAAAATAGCTTGGTTTGTCTCATAAAGGTGACAAATAAAGTTTGGTATCATTTGGGTTTTTCCTGATATCGATAATAAAACAGTACCGGTGCCTGAACTGATTATTATTAAGAGACAAGGACAAAATGACGTCTGACCACTTTGAAGAAAAGGTAGCAGCTGCTAGCTTTTTGTTTGTAATGTTTTTATTCCTGTTTATTTGTTCTTACTCATTCTTTGGTTTTCTTACTTCTGTGCTCATGTTCCTGTTATTGTAGCTTTATTGTTTCGTTTTAATTTCTTTCTCCGTTCATCCCTTTGTGACTTTAGGGAAAGTGCAATATAAATAAAGTTTATAATTATTATTTTATTTACCATTTTTATATTCAGCATTAATCTTCAGCTGTTGAATATGAAGAAGGATGTTGATGAACTGATCTGTGAGCTGAATGTTTGTGAGATGAATTTGGTTCCGTGCCAGCGTGACGCCTCACTGACAGTAAATACAGTCAAACAACACAGAAGACGTTTCCTTGAAAGCCTTAACCTGACCCGGAGGCAGCAGGAAGTGATGTCATCCTCCCACTGATAGAAGTACTCAAAGATCCCGTCCAATCATCAGCAGGAAAATGTAAACACATACAGGTAACCTGCTGCCTGCTCCTCCTACTTCCTGTCAGCAGGGCCGCAGCTGTACAGAGGGGGCGGGGCCAATTCCTGCACCCCACCTTAATCCTCTGGCTGTGAACGTGGGCGGATAAAAGAGTTCTCACAGTCACTGAGGATGATTCAGACATTAATGCGGGTTCTCAGTAAGACGCCTGAAAGGCATCAGCAGCAAACTGCCCACTCCACCAGCCAGAAACTAAATCACTCTCAGCACACGCTGTCACCTGCGGAAAATGACAGGCGTGACTCCGTTTATTCAGGAATACAGTTACTGACATCAGCCCAATAATCAATAATCAATGAGTCCATCAATCAATCAATAATTCCCTCTGAAACCAACACATTTACAGCAGTTAATTTCTCAACCGTGTTCAAGCTTCTGTAACAGTAACAGTGACACCTGTGGCCGTTAACGGAACTGCAGTCAGCTTCCTGTTATAAATATAACTTTACTAACACTGTACAAACACACAACTTTATTAACACTGTACAAACACACAACTTTATTAACACTGTACAAACACACAACTTTATTAACACTGTACAAACACACAACTTTATTATCACTGTACAAACACAACTTTATTAACACTGTACAAACACACAACTTTATTATCACTGTACAAACACACAACTTTATTAACACTGTACAAACACACAACTTTATTAACACTGTACAAACACACAACTTTATTAACACTGAAGACAACAACTTTATTAACACTGTACAAACACACAACTTTATTATCACTGTACAAACACACAACTTTATTAACACTGTACAAACACACAACTTTATTATCACTGTACAAACACACAACTTTATTAACACTG